CTGGACCATAAAGAAGGCTGATTGCCAAAGAATTGATGCTTTTGAATTACAGTGGTACCTCGGGTTACATACGCTTCAGGTTACAGACTCCGCTAACCCAAAAATAGCGCTTCAGTTTAAGAACTTTGCTTCAGGATGAGAACAGAAATTGTGCTCTGGTGGCGCGGCAGCAGCAGGAGGCCCCATTAGCTAAAGTGGTGCTTTAGGTTAAAAACAGTTGCAAGTTAAGTACGGACCTCCAGAACAAATTAAGTACTTAACCTGAGGTACCGCTGTATGGTGCTGGAAGAGACTCTTGAGAGTCCCATGGACTGCAAGAAGATCAAACCTATCCATTCTGAAGGAAATCAGCCCTGAGTGCTCACTGGAAGGACAGATCCTGAAGCTGAGGCTCTAATACTTTGGCCACCTCATGAGAAGAGAAGACTCCCTGGAAAAGACCCTGATGTTGGGAAAGATGGTTGGCACAAACAGAAGGGGATGACAGAGGACGAGATGGTTGGACAGTGTTCTCGAAGCTACCAGCATGAGTTTGACCAAACTGCGGAAGGCAGAAGTGCCTGGCGTGCTCTGGTCCATGGGCTCATGAAGAGTCAGACACAACTAAATGACTAAACAACAACAATAAAGGAAAAACACCAGGGCAACTTTTGCATTTGGCAACCCAGTCGGTCAACGCTTATGTTAAGAGACATCTATGCTTATGATATAATAATTATTTTATTACGTAGAAAACATATATTAGACCCTTCATTCTACTGTGTCCTTTTATTTTTAAAGTAAAGTTGGGCTCTTAATCCAGTTCAGACTGAAAATTTAAGTTGCTAGTTTTCCAGAGCAGTGTGTGCTAACTGAGAGATAACAGTGCTGCCAAGATGCATAAATTCATACAGCTGAGAATTATCTGGGCAGCTTTTCAGCAGGCAACATTACTTTTAGTTAAGTGTGCGAATGTTTCTTGCTTATAGAAGCAAACAAGGAAGGCTGTAGCAGTGGATGTGAAGTTCAAGCCAGTCACATCTGCTGGGACTTCGCTGCTTCCTTGGACCTATGTAACAGATGCTCCCATGCATGTGCAGAGGGCAATATTGAGATAAATCTGTATTTTGGCAATGGTTTGCTGCTTGTGTAACTTTATGGCGTTCTGGATTCTGTGGGATGGGAGTTCATTTCCCAAGTGTACATAAAGGCAGTTCTGCCTCAATGCCAGCTCCAAGGATATACAGGGAAACCCCAAGACAGAATGTATCTGTAGGCACCTCCTTCTCTCATATCTCACTCCTGCCCCCCCCCAATCCCTAATTTTGCTTGTTACAAGGATCCTTAGCTCAGATACTTTGTGTCTGTATCGGAGATAAGTTTGCCTAGGTGGGATAATTCCTTCACTCAAATTTCTATTTTCTTTTTTTTTCGGGGTTACTCTCCATAAGGTAAAGGATGCCCTAGAAGTGTAAAACTTTTTGATTAGGAATGCAAGCTTTGGAACTTTCATTTTTGGCCTGGTTGCTTATCGTTAAAACCTTGTACGTTTCCGAGCACAATTCAAAGTGTTGGTGCTGACCTTTAAAGCCCTAAACGACCTTGGCCCAGTACCCTGAAGGAACGTCTCCACCCCCATCATTCAAGCTGGACACTGAGGTCCAGCTCTGAGGGCCTTTTGGCAGTTCCCTCCCTGCAAGAGGTGAAGTTACAGGGAACCAAGCAGAGGGCCTTCTCGGTAGTAGCGCCCACCCTGTGGAACACCCTTCCACCAGATGTCAAGGAAATAAACAACTATCTGACTTTTAGAAGACATCTGAAGGCAGCTCTGTTTAGGAAAGTTTTTAATGTTTGATGTTTTATTGTGTTTTTAATCTGTTGGGAGCCGTCCAGAGTGGCTGGGGAAACCCAGCCAGAAGGGTGGGGTATAAATATTATTATTATTATTATTATTATTATTATTTCATTCCTTTGCAAAGAAAGTACAAGGGCTGTGTGCCTCAGGCCTGATCACTTTAGCATACACAGCAAGGCTGTTGTTTTAAAGTTTGCAATCCAGTTCACGCTGGGTTGTAACACAGTTCCCACTGACCCTTGTTGTTTAGTCGTTTAGTCGTGATTTCCTTAAGAATGGATAGGTTTGATCTTCTTGCAGTCCATGGGACTCTCAAGAGTCTCCTCCAGCACCATAATTCAAAAGCATCAAATCTTCGGCGATCAGCCTTCTTTATGGTCCAGCTCTCACTTCCATACATCACTACTGGGAAAACCATGGCTTTAACTATACGGACCTTTGTTGGCAAGGTGACGTCTCTGCTTTTTAAGATGCCTCTGCTTTTTAAGATGCTGTCTGACCCTACAATCTGCTTTAGAAAGGAATCAGGCGTCATGGCTGGCTGTAGTGCATTAAAATATGGAACAGCCCAGTTGCCAGAAAGAGAGTTAGGGTGCAAATCCAAGAGGTTTTCTTTCTCTGGAGCAAATGCCATTCTCGTGAGAAAGCAGCATTTATCTCAGGGGCCGAAACTGAATGAATGCCATTATGTTTCAGCAAGTCCCTGCTGTCTGGCAGACAGAACTGTAGGAGACACGTTTCTATCCTGAAGTTTTCTGCACCAGCAAAATCCACGTTTAGAACAGGACATAAATACCGCCCGTGTCAGCAGCACCACTTCACCTTGCCAAAATGTGGAAATTTTTTGGTGAAGGATGTTCATTTCCCCATCGAAGCTGTGCTGTCGCAGGAAACTGTCACAAGAGTTCATTTTGCGTAGGGCTCCTTTGTGGCTGCCAGTTCCTTTCCCCAAACTGTTATCTCACACCACTCCACTGTTGCCTAACTGTTATTGCTCTGTAGCCTTGTTGTACAGTACGTGCACTGCAGACAGATAAATCTGAGTAAAAGGCAGAGGTGCCAGCTTGGACCCAAGATTTTTTTTTTTGGGGGGGTGGCAGCGTCACATGCCTGTGATGTCACACACATGTACTGTCGCAACTTTTGCTAACATGAATCCGGGGCATCCTCAACAATGATGCATCAGACTTCTGCCGGGCAACTCTAGATCTGAACTGCTCCGCTCTGCTCCGACAAGGGTGAGAAGACAAGACAAGGTTCAGGCTTGACCAGTGGTGTAGCGTGGGGGGTGCAGGGGGGGCCGGCCGCACCGGGCACAACATCTGGGGATTAGGGTTAGGGGGTGCAAATCCACAGGTTAGGGGGCGCAAATTACTTGCCTTGACCCGGGTGCTGACAACCCACGCTACGCCACTGGGCTTGACACAAGGCAAGGTGGGATGAAATTCAGGCTGGACCCTAGGCTCATCCAATGCTCTAGCAAGCTAAAATAAAGCCCTTATAGCAGGGGCAGCAACCTTTTTCGGCCATGTGGTGGGCCGGACTATATTTTGAAGAAGAAAAAATGAACGAATTCCTATGCCCCACAAATAACCCAGAGGTGCATTTTACATTAAAGGACACATTCTACTCATGTAAAAACACGCTGATTCCTGGACCGTCTGTGGGCCGGATTGAGAAGGCGATCCAGCCCACAGGCTTTAGGTTGCCTACCGCTGCCTTATAGGTTTTCTACAGATGAATCCTGAGTCTAGGACAGCAGTACCACAACTTTGGATTGGGGTGGGTTCAGGCCCACTGTCCCCACAGGCTCATCTGATAGAAGCCTTAGTGGAGCTGGCCCTACTTCAGGTTCAGAGATTTGCTGGCATCACCTGAGGAACATACAAGAGAGCAGGGCTGGATCAGGCCAATGGCCTATTGAGTTCAGCATCCTGCTCTCACCACGATGCCTCTCATGGGAAGCCCACAAGCAGTAACTGCATCTTTTCCTGCACTTCCCAGAAATGGCTATTATTGAGAAGCACACCACTTTCCACAATGGAGGTAGAAGGCTGTGTCATGGTTACTAGCCAGACAACCCCACCCTCCATGATGAATTTGTCTAAAGGTGGCAGTCCCCGCTGCCTCCTGTAGGAGCAAACTTCATTGTTTACGCTCCATGGGGAAAGTAACACCCTTTCTTTAGTCTGTCCTGCACACCCCAGCATCCAGTTCCCTCAGCAGTTGTACTGAGGGGTGTCATGGAAAACAAGCGCTTTAGATTTATAACGAAAAGCAACTTTAAAATTGGAAAATGGAATCAATAAGATTGTCCTGAGTGGGCAGAGTCACGTTTAGGGTTGCCACCTGTCCTGTATATAATACAGGAGGGCCCCATATTTCAATGAATAATGCTATGTTCTGAATTGCTAAGAGTTTTGTCCTGTATTTCAGGTCTTCTCTCTGCACCAATTTAGGGATCCTCTCCAAATGCATGTTTGAAAGGTCATGTATTTAAGCTTCAGGCAGCCAAGCACAGACAGATTTCCAAATTATTTATATATATATGAATATATATGTATATTGTTTTACCTTTTAGATTAATTTAAACATCCTTAAAATATCAGTGACTTCCCTTCTTCCCATGGTTCATTTTGCATATCTTAAATCCCTGCATATTTTACATAAACTAAACCATTCAGTATTCCATTATTACATCCATCAAAACTTATTTACACTGTTTAATTTATCTTAATGCTGCCAGCATTTTCAAGTGTACAAAATCCCCCCCCCATATATTCAATAAACATTTTCCAGTCTTTTCTTCTTATTCTCTTATTCTGTATGTTAGATCTGCAAGCTGCACATATTCAGTTGCCATTCTTCTTTACTTGCGACCTTGCTGAAAAAATGGGCCAGAGTAGTGGCATACATAAACAACCTCTTTTGACACCTTGGAATTTCAGTTTGAATTATCCCCAGCAAAAAGGACTGGGTTTTTTTTGGGGGGGGGATGTAAGAGAGATTTACACATTTATGTGCATGTGTGCGTGCGTGTGTGATAAATTCCAGAGAGGTCACCCGGTTAGGCTGCAATAGATTGCTTTGAAGTCACTTTGGCACCAGATGAAAGGGAAAATCTTCCCCCGCCCGGTATTTTGCCAGGACAAAGGTGACAAAGGTGAGCGCCTCTCCCAGTGAGGAAGTCCAGCTTGTTCGCCTTTCCCTCCGCGCTGAGGCCATTTAAGCGCAACCGATAGCCCCCGCGGCGCCCAATTCTGCGCGCTCCCTGCGCTCCTGTCCTGAACTGAGCCGGTGTCGTCGAGGCGCCTCCTCGGGGAGGCGGCGGAGGCTGCGCTGCCTATGGAGAGCCGAGGGGAGGGCGCAGCCGTCTCCGCCGGCGACATGGCCGCCCTGCACGCCGCCAAGGGAGCGCTGCGAGCGGAGCTGAAGCGCCGCCTGGGAGCCCTGAGCGCCGCCGAGAAGCTGCGCCAGTCGCGGCTCGTGCGCGGCAAGGTGGGTGAGGGCCAGCAAGCCTGTCTCGGGGAAAAGTCTTTTCTGTGGGTTGTTTTTTTCTCCCCCCGCCCCCGGCCAGGCGTTTCCCCCAGAGGCCGGCCAACCCGTGTCCCTCAAGGCTCTTTTGCCCTCTTCCCACGCGACGCTGGTTCACGTGCTGTTAGAAAAACGAAGCGGGGAGCGGGGGAAGCCCCTTTCTCCACGGAACGGCGCGCGCGGCTGCCCGGGAAGCGCAGCGCGTGCGCCCTGGTCCCCCCACCCCCGCGCGCGGGTGTTTAAGATAGAGACCGAGAGAAAGTGAGAGTGTGAAGTTCCGTCTGGGGGGGATTCCCTCCCGCCCAGAGAAAACCCCCTCCTTGAGTTGAATGAGGGCGCCTAAGGTGACGCAAGGGAACGGCCCGCACGTGGAAAGGGGCGGACGCGGATATGCCCCTGGAGAGGGTGGGAAGTGTTTTATTCGGAAGTGAGGTCGGTAATGCGTCATCCCCCGGAAACGTGTGCGTGGGGGAGCCCCTGCGGATACGCAGGCCCCCTCGGAAGGGAGATGTCCCGTTGAGTTCATTGTGGCTGCTTTCACCCCCAAAATGGATTGCGTGTGTTTACGGAACTGGTTTTTGTTTGTTTGTTTTTTTTTTAAAAAAAACGTATTGCTTTTGTATGCTTGTGTATTACTTTGAGGGGATGCTGTGCAAGCCGCTTTGCGACCATTGATGGTGAAAAGCTGCCTATTAATATTGGAAATAAATGCAGAATTAAATGGGTTTAGGGACTGCAAATTGGGACGCGGGTGGTGCTGTTGGTTAAACCACAGAGCCTAGGACTGGCCGATCAGAAGGTCGGCGGTTCGAATCCCCACGACGGGGTGAGCTCCCGTCGCTCAGTCCCTGCTTCTGCCAACCTAGCAGTTTGAAAGCACGTCAGAGTGCAAGTAGATAAATAGGTACCGCTCCGGCGGGAAGGTAAATGGCGTTTCCATGTGCTGCTCTGGTTCGCCAGAAGCGGCTGAGTCATGCTGGCCACATGACCCGGAAGCTGTACGCCGACTCCCTCGGCCAATAAAGCGAGATGAGCGCCGCAACCCCAGAGTCAGCCACAACTGGACCTAATGGTCAGGGGTCCCTTTACCCTTTACCTTAGGGACTGCAAGCCTTCCGCTTTAAAAGAGGGAGCGGGGCTTAGAGCTGAAACTTTTCTAGAGGCTCGCATACTCTGGCCTGGCAACCTTTTTCCTTCCCACATGTGGTGAGATTGGGTAGAATTCAGCAGTTGAGAGAGATGCATTTTGTGTATGCTCAGAGGCAGCCTCTACTTTATTGACACATCATGAATTCATAGGGTGGAACATAATACATAAAAAGCAAAGCTTTGAGCACTGCCGATGCAAAGTAAGATGCTTCACTTTTGTGCAGTATCCATCAATTCTGTCATGCCATTCATCATTCATATATTTATTTCATTTTAATACATCACACACAAAAAAGAAATATAGAAGTAAACAAATATCCATCACCTCCTAGCAATTGAAAAGGAAAAAAAGGAAGAAAAACAACAACTATATTAAATAGTTCTCACAATACATTTAACATAAAAATGACTTTTTTCTATTATTCATAACCACCTTCTGTTTTCTTTTCACCCCATTCTCAGAGACTGAAACCTCCTTTTGCTTACATAATATTTTGAGATGAGTGAAAATGTCCTACGAATGGAACGTGTTAGACCTACTGTAGACTGGACCCAGCATGAGAATGTCATCAAATAAGGATATTGGAAGCTGCCCTGTACTGAGTCAGAGAAATGGCCCATTTAACTCGAAGCGCCTTGAGTATTTCAGGCAGGGCAAATTTCCCACATGGGAGAGACCCCTGCTTGAAATCTTGGAGAGCTGCTAGGAGTCAGCGTAGGTAAAAGTAAAGGTAAAGGACCCCTGGATGGCTAAGTCCAGTCAAAGGCAACTATGAGGTGCGGCACTCATCTTGCTTCAGGCCGAGGGAGCCAGCATTTGTCCACAGAGAGCTTTCCGGGTCATGTGGCCAGCATGACTAAACTGCTTCTGGCACAATGGATCGCCCTGACGGAAACCAGAGCGCACAGAAACGCCATTTACCTTCTTGTCGCAGTGGTACCTATTTATCTACTTGCACTGGCGTGCTTTCGAACTGCTAGGTCGGTAGGAGCTGGGACAGAGCAACGGGAGCTCACCCCGTCGTGCGAATTCAAACCGCCAACCTCCCAATCAGCAAGCCCAAGGGGCTCAGTGGTTTAGACCACAGCGCCACCTGCTCCGTAGATGTTCCACTGTTCCCTTCTGTATAAGGCTTCTTATTTTCCTGTAACACTGATGGCATGTGATGCCAGTGTTGATGCTTACGTTATCTGGGGACTGAGGGTTACGAACCATGGGATGCATATCTTCTGAGCCTTTCCCCCTCCTCCCTGCACGAGGTTCAAGATCATGGGTAGGCAAACTAAGGCCTGGGGGCCGGATCCGGCCCAATCGCCTTCTAAATCTGGCCCGCGGATGGTCTGGGAATCAGCGTGTTTTTACATGAGTAGAATGTGTCCTTTTATTTAAAACGCATCTCTGGGTTATTTGTGGGGCATAGGAATTTATTCCCCTCCCCTCAAAAAAATATAGTCCAGCCCCCCACAACGTCTGAGGGGCAGTGGACCGGCCCCCTGCTGAAAAAGTTTGCTGACCCCTTCTCAAGATGCTGTGTGTGCCTTAATTAGTATCAGAGGGGAAGTGTTTTTTTCTCCCTAATTTATCACATCTCCATCACTTTGTCAGCCGTGTGCGGGACAGAGGTGTTAAATGCTTAAAACGCATCACTTAGGACTACTCTGGTTACAGTTTCGTACCTGCGCAAATGTCCGTAAGCTGCCTTGAGCGTGGTTTTAACTATGGAAAGGCGACATACAAGTGAACGATTGTGATCATGGTTTTGCTCTGAACAGGTCTTTTGTTTCATTATTACAACGGTTTCCTGTTTTTGTAATTGTATTTCTGGTTGTTATAACTTGCCCTGGTGCATGGAAATGTTAGAAATCACAATCGTTTAATCAAAGCAGCTTCTTGATGTTATGTTGTGAACCGTCCTGAGATTTACGGGTATAGGGCAGTATACAAATTTAATAAATAATAATAAGAAGGGGGGGAAGTATTATGGAAGGGAGGTTGGGGACGTGGATTGCAAGTTGCATATAAGTTGTATATCCACTGACCCACTAAACCTGCTGAACGCTCTTGTGCTAAGGGAGGGCTCAATAGTTTGTCTCCTGTGTAATTCCTTGCAGCCCCCCCCCCTCACTTGTATAATAATGTGAGAATCCTTATTGTTATGTACTGAAGTTCTCACCCTGGGCCAGCAGGGGGATACTGGAGATAGTTTTCACTCAGGTCCACGTATGCAAATAAGGGATTGAAAGTGACGTTCAGTGATTGGATAGTTACAGATGGTTGTTACAGTTGCGTTGTACTGGAGCTCTATATAAGCAGGCTGGCTGAACCCTTCAATTCAGTTCTGGCCTGACCTGTGATTAGCTGTTTGAAGAATCGCTGTGTCGTCTGATATGTTCACCCACAACTTAACACTTCTCTCCCAGTAAATTAAAACCAGTTTTTAAAGCATCTCTGTTTCTTGTACACCGGAGTGAAGTTAGGAGCCCTGCTCCATCCGATGAGAATTCGCCTTTCATCTTCATCTGGCTTTTCAGTACCCTGAAATGTAACAAGATGCTGTCAGTTAGTGCCTGAATGAGATGTATTTGAGTAACAGATGGGGGGGGGGAGATGAAAGAAGCCCACCACTGAAATGCCAGAAAACGAAAAGGAGATGGAGAGAAAATTTATTTATTCGAATGATTACTCATTTGACAGAGGTCTTAATTTGAAATGAGAGTAGCTGCACTGGGCTGACCTCACCACTGGCGTTTAATTAGTCACTGGGTGGCTTTGCTTGCTGAATGTTTCCTTTTGTGACTGAAGTCCTGCTGGTTTGCATGCTCTGATTCGGCAATAATAGCCATTTCCTGATCCAGAAAAGCAAGCAGATTCCTTTTCTTTCTTGCTTGCTTTTGGTAAACTGCTGTACATTTTCCTGTGTTGTTCACAGTGCTGTGTGGTTGTGGAAGTTTCCACTGTGGGTGTCTTCTCTTTCTTTAAATAAGATCTCTGAATCTCCCAGGGGTAGTGGGAGCGAGGCCAGTGCACATCAAAGTACATTTAATTTAAATGCAAATATAGTGGGAAATTTGCAAATTTTAAAAATAACCTATTGCCTGATGTTGAAGCTTGGTTGGGAGGGAAAGGTTTGGTATCAGGAAAGGAGCTCAAGTTTCTAGGCCAGTTTAAACCTGGCAATGGCCCAGGGCAGAAGTACCGTATTTTTTGCACCATAACACTCACTTTTTTCCTCCTAGAAAGTAAGGGGAAATGTCTGTGCGTGTTATGGAGGGAATGCCTACGGGTGGCATGCCTACGGATTTTCCTCCTCTAAAAACTACGTGCGTGTTATGGTCGGGTGCGTGTTATAGAGCGAAAAATACGGTAATTCTGGACTCTTCTAAACTGGGCCAGCCCTATCATTAGGTAGGGGGAATGTGACTGATTTTGGGTGTCGTGAAATGACAGCAACTTCTTCACAGAATCACAGATTTGTAGAATTGGAAGGGACCACGGGGGTCATCTGGTCAAACCCACGACTCTGAGTAGACTCATGCTCTACTGATTGCGTTGGTTATTTAATTTCATATTTAATATTACATTGTATTTTCACTTCCAGGGATGAGGAGAGGTGCTTGTGGGCCATTCAGCCTCAGGTGCCAGCATAAAATGAACACCTTGATACACCTTTGATATTCTGGGGGGAGCATCATTTGTTCTGCCCTCTTGGGCAGCAAAATGTCTTCGGTTATGTGATGTACTGAAGTTTTCACCCTGGGCCAGCAGGGGGATACTGGAGATAGTTTTCACTCAGGTCCACATATGCAAATAAGGGATTGAAAGTGATGTTCAGTGATTGGATAGTTACAGAAAATGGTTACTGTTGCGTTCTAGTGGAGCTGTATATAAGCAGGCTGGCTGAACCCTTCAGTTCAGTTCTGTTCTGGCCTGGCCTGTGAATAAACAAGAGCTGTTTGAAGAATCGCTGTGTTGTCTGATATGTTCACCCACAACTTAACAGGTGGCTCTGCATCCAAACCATGGCTGGCTCTAGAGTGATTTCTCCTGCCCCACCTTCCTTGTCTCAACCACAGCTCCATATTGCATTGCACCAGTCTAAACCATGCTTAATACAAACCATGGACCCCTTGGTCTGAGGTGGGTCTGCAAACTATGGTGATCCTGCTATGTTGTTTGTATAAACCAGGGTTTTCATTGGCATGCATGTGATGCAAAACTCTGATCGGCACCAGGAAGAGGAACGTTCTCTCCAAAGAGGTGGGGTGAGAAGGGAGTACGTTTTCACAAGACTGGATCTTGATTTGCAGGTCATATCAAAGTTCTACTCAGAGTAGACCCATTGAAATTAATGGATCAAAGTTAGTCATGCCCATTATTTTCAACACTCTGAATAGGACCAGCATTGGGTAGAACCCATTGTTTGTAGGGAGATAGTTCTAAGTGGTGGGCTTCCAAACTTGGATGACCTTAAATATAATCTGGAGAGCGGCCTGATCATGCCCAGTGTTGTGTCATCTCTGAGCCTAAGAAGATCTGCCTTTTCCCAGTACTTGTTTGGGAAACCTGCCAGGAAAAAAGCATACCCCCAATTTTTGGTTCCTTGAAAGAACAGAAGGATTCAGACATTAATAATGAAATAAAACACAGTATTGACAACCGTCTTGAGTAGCTCCTTGTAAATAAATGGGTGTAATGTTCACATATATCAGTTTAAAATATATATTTATATCCTGCCTTTCCAGCTTGCAGTAAGTTGTGAGCCACTTGAGGCAGCTAACGAGATTTCAGATTAAAACAATCATACCGTATATACAACCGTCAGACCAATAAACACAGCAAATAAACTTGGTTGTAAGAGGATGATTTAAGAGCCAGTTGACCCATAAACCTGTTGGAATGAAACATGTTTTAGTTTGGCGTCTTCAAGCCGTCAGGAAAGGGGGCAAAGAGCGCCAAAGCCTAACAGCGACACAAATTCGTCAGAAACCGTGTAAAGATTGGCAAAAATTATGGCTGAACTAGCTGATACTTAGTATGCCTATTGTGTTTTCCTGAGTGCTCAAGGGATTTCATCTACATTATTTGCACGATCCTAATAACAGTTTTGTAATGTTGGCTGCTTGCATTATGCCCACATTACAGAGAGTGTCTTGCCTCAGGTCATCCAAGTGAAGCTCAAGGAGGAGCAGGGATCTCTTCAGGGACTCCCAGCTCCGTTTTCAGATTGAGTTCATGCTTGTAACTATTACGGCTGCATTGAGTCCCGCTGCAGAGATAAGGAGACTCCACAGCCCCAAATGAGAAAGCCTCCGAAAATAATCCCGTTTCTTAATCCTGTTTACCAGATGGTGGTGCTCCCTGCGGAGAAGCTGTCAGAAGCTAAACACTTGGGGGAATTTGGGGATTCAAGAGTGCATGTGTGTGTGTGTAAGTTTTAGGGGGCGTATGAAATTGGTTGCCCAGGAGAACCCAAACACCTGCCTAGCTCCCTAGAAGGTATGTTAAGAAGAGGGCTGCTGGATCAGACCAAAGGTCCACCTAGTGTAGGGGGATTGACTATATGACCACTAAGGTCCCTTCCTCCCCTCCTTATTTATATAAATTATAAATTGGATATCCAACATCCAACATAAAAACAAGATTCCAAGGAACCTCCTGGACTTCCCTCCTCCCCTTTGTGGATCCCATTGTTAATCATTTCCTCCTGCATCTTTTATGATCATCCAAATCTTTTACCTCTCCGTTGTATCCCAAATTCACCATTAAACTACAAGTGTTATCCCAATCCTACTAATGATTTTAACAGTTTACAGTGGTGTTTAAGATAAGTTACAGTTTCCCCCCATTCCTTATTAAAATTTTGGTCTTCTTGATTTCTGATTCTTCCGGTCGTTTTAGACATTTCAACACAATCCATCAACTTGATCTGCCATTTTTCTCTGGTAAGGACTGTTATGTACTGAGTTGAATAGAATCCAAAATGCAGCAGTCTGATTGGTCCTAGAACAATAGGATTCAGAATGCAGCAGTATGATTGGTCTGCAGGAGCCACCCAGTCCAGCTCCAGATGGAAGTGAATCCACAACCTGATTGGTCTACAGGAGAATTCCGGAATTAGCCGATCACGTGCAGCCCATTGTGTAAATAATGTATATAAAGCAGATACTTTGGGGGAACTTTCATTCCTCCTCACCACTATGAGCTGAATAAAGAGCATGAAATCCACTCTCGACTCTGAGTATATTTCAGTACTTTATCTTCTTTCCATCTCTGGGCCAATAAAATCCGTGCAGCCATGGTCACATACATAAATAGTCTTTTCTGCTCCCTTGGGATTTCGGCAACTCCCTTGGGATTTTGGGGTTTTTAAAAGAAAAAGTTATACTGCTATGGTCCTTTCCAACTGTATGGTTTGATACACTATTAAAAGAACAACAACCCTGGTTACAGTTGGAAACTTGGATTATGTGGTTAAGCCCAATGCCTCAAGGAAAAGGTGGGTTCTCCCACTGTTTTTTCTCGTGAACTTTCCAATCTCTCTGACTGCAAACTCCTCTCTTTCCCAGTGCAGGTGTTGGAGCATCCTAAATACCAAGCTTCTCAGAGAATTGCAGTCTTCCTAAGCATGTCGGATGAGGTCCAGACAGAAGAAATCATTAAGGACATTTTCCAGCATGGCAAAGAGTGCTTCATTCCGCATTACAAGCCCCGGAGCAGCCACATGGACATGGTGAAGCTAGCTTCCTACGAAGAAATTGCTTTGCTCCCCTTGACTTCCTGGAACATCCATCAGCCGGCTGAAAATGACATCAGGGAAGAAGCCTTGTCAGCGGCAGGTGAGCTTGGCAAGCATGGGGCTGTAATTTGGTGCCAGAATACATCCTTGTGGGAGAGATGAGTAATGTTATGACATATCAAGGCATGGACGGTCATTGATGGAAAATATCCAGTGTGGTACAGTGGTTAGGCCAGGATTGGGGACCCTGTCGCCTTCCAGATGTTGGTCTCCCAATCCCCATCAGCCTCAGGCAGCATGGCCAACGGTCAGGGATCATGGGGCTTGTAGTCAAAAACATCTGGATGACACCAGTTTCCACATCTGTGCTCCGTTGCACTGCAAAAACACACATGCAATACAGTACACACAGAGAGAGCAATTGTTCTGCAAAAAGACTGGGAATCTGCATGCTAGTCTGTGAATCAGATCAGTTCTCTTCAAATTGACAAGATGCATGAACCAAGTTTGCCTAAAAACATGGACTGAATCTAATCTTCATCATCACCACCACCATCACTTATTTATACCCCACCCTTCTGGCTGGGTTTCCCTAGCCACTCTGAGCAGCTCCCAACAGAATATTAAAAACAAGATAAAACATCAGACATTAAAAACTTCCCTAAACAGGGCTGCCTTAAGATGTCTTCTAAAAGTCAGATAATTGTTGATAATTGACATCTGATGGGAGGGCGTTCCACAGGGCAGGTGCCACCACCAAGAAGACCCTCTGCCTGGTTCCCTATAACCTCACTTCTCACAGGGAGGGAACTGCCAGAAAGCCCTGAAAGAGTTTCCTGCTGCTGTTTTCTGCAGATGCAATAGAGGCGGTGAAGAAGGTCCTCTTCGCCATCGCTATCACCACTTGGTAGGTTCGATGCTGAGCTCTAACATCTGTCAGGTCCGATTCAGAATGAGTTTTCCACCACCGGCGCTCTAGCCATCTCAGTGATTGTTTCATCGCCCTCAGCTCCGGGGAAAACCACGGCTCCATGCAATCGGATAGGGCGCTTCGGAGCCAGACAGTCGATAGCCCTGGTTAACTCCACAATCCAGCGGTCCACCAGGGAATCAGCTGAAAGGCCATCAACATGGGATAAATCATCCCCTACCACTCTCTGGAAACCATTTGGATCAGGCTTCCTCAAACACAGCCCTCCAGATGTTTTTGGCCTACAACTCCAAGATCCCTAGCTAGCAAGACCAGTAGTCAGGGATGATGGGAACTGTAGTCTCAAAACATCTGGAGGGCTGAGTTTGAGGAAGCCTGATTTGGATCCATTAAGTGGTGGGGGCGGACCATCTGAATTGGTCCCACCTCCCTACAGAGGGGAAGGGTCACAGAAAAGTCCTTCAAACATCCCTCTCCGCCCCCCTCCAATTTTTAAAATTGAAAATACTTCGTTCTTCTACAGGACTTTAGAATTGGTACATAAGCTAAGAGAAGGGGGAAGAGCAATTTCAAGTGTGGGCAGAAAAAATTCATTAATCGCATACGTCTGCATGGAGGTATAATGAGTGAGCTATTTTAATCATTCTCAGACTGACATTCTATGGACATTAGGTGCATACCTGCATTTAAGAAGCCCTGGAAAAAATCCACCCGTGTAGTAAATAACGTCTTGACGGCCCCATTGAAGGATTTAAATAAGATGTGTGCAAAATGACAGATAGATGGAGCGCATATGTTGGAAGCGGCGATGTTAAATATAACTACATAATGGGAAAAACAGAAAATGGTCCAAACAAGATTGTAAAGTGATTGCCAAGACTATTAGATTTTCTTCCCTTCAGGGAGGGTTGATTAAAATTTACAGTACAATATATATCCAAGCGAGAGATTAATTTAAAAAGTATTTTTTTCCTGCCTTTTTTTTTTTACACTGGTCATAAAAAAGACCATGGCATGAGACAAAATTGAAAATCAAGGCTTAGCTCTTAATGTAATTTATTTTTTAATGAAATGATTTGAAGTTTGGAATGAACTTCTGCTCAAAGACAATGAGCCATGGCACTTCTGTGTCGGGTGGGTGGGTATCGGGAGAAGGGATTTGGGTCTAGCAAGGCATTAGTATTCTGGTGAAAGAGCCCCTCTGGGGGAAAAGGGGGAGCAGGAGCAGCTCCTGATCCTAGTAGTGCTTCTAAACTGCCAGGGATTCTCAAGGCAGAGATGAATCGAACGGTACCGTCCTTTGCAGGCGGAACTCAGAAGTCAGTCCCACGGAGTTAATTCCCTTATTAAATTTATAGCCTTCTCTTCCTCCCATAGGAGCCCAAGGGCTGGAAACATCAGGTAATAAAATAATAAAAACATCTCAAAAATTAAAATAAAATCCATTTCGGATCCAGACCAGGAAAGATCCGAACTGAAAAGCCTTGTTGAAAGAGGAAGGTCTTCAGTCGGTGCTGAAAACGGTGCTGAAACTGAGACCGTGCCAACCTAAACATTCAAGGGGAGGGAATTTCGCCACTCTAAAGGCCTGATTCTTACTTTGTGTAGAATGGAGTTACTGATACAGTGGGATCTGCAGAAGAACATCACTTGCAAAGTCAACGATCACTTGCAAAGTCAACGGGTATGCAAGTGGTGAAATGATACACGCATTGCTCAGAGCCCTTTTTGTTGTGTTTTTGTGGGTGTGTTTTGCAACATGTCACTGGGGCAATAATAGTGCATAAGTGGATGATTTATACCGGGCTGCCTGCACATTATTCCACTTTATTAGTTGCTCTGCAATGCAGGGACGCAGGTGGCGCTGTGGTCTAAACCACTGAGCCTCTTGGGCTTGCTGACTGGAAGGTCGGCAGTTTGAATCCCCGCGACGGAGTGAGCTCCCGTTGCTCTGTCCCAGCTCCTGCCAATCTAGCAATTCAAAAGTACACCAGCGCAAGTAGATAAATAGGCACCGTTGCGGCGGGAAGGTAAACAGCGTTTCCGTGTGCTCTGGCTTCTGTCACAGTGTCCCATTGCGCCAGAAGCGGTTTAGTCCTGCTGGCCGCATGACCCGGAAAGCTGTCTGTGGACAAACGCCAGCTCCCTTGGCCTGAAAGGGAAATGTGCGCCGCAACCCCATAGTTGCCTCTGACTGGGCTTAACCATCCAGGGGTCCTTTACCTTATCTACCTAACCCCAGTGTTATTTCATTATTGGGATCCTCTGGTACTGTAGTGCAACAAAAGCAAGACAACCCCCCCTCAGGTTACGTACTTAATTTGTTCCGGAGGTCCGTACTTAACCTGAAACTGTTCTTAACCTGAAGCACCACTTTAGCTAATGGGGCCTCCCGCTGCTGCTGCGATGCCGGAGCACGATTTCTGTTCTCATCCTGATGCAAAGTTCTTAACCTGAAGCACTATTTCTGGGTTAGCGGAGTCTGTAACCTGAAGCGTATGTAACCTGAAGCGTATGTAACCCGAGATACCACTGTAAATATTACAGGGTTTTAGCAGGAAGCTGTGGGGCATGCACTAACTGGTAATGAAACTGCATGTTGTATCCAAAGCTAGCCTTACTCGGAGTATTTATTTTTATCAATTTGTTGCACTGACTTTCCCACTCTCCCCCCCCCCCAAGGCGGCATGCATGGAAGTCCCCCTCCTCATTTAACCCCCACAGCAACCCTGGGAGGTAGGTCAGGCTGAGAGGCAGCGACTGGCCCAAGGTCACCCCGAGAGCTTCATGGCTTAGTGGGAATTTGAACTCTGACTTCCCAGGTCCCAAACCGACAATCTAACCACAGTGGGGCTAGATCTGGTGGAAGGTGTTTTGGGGTTGTTTTTTCAGAGAACTGTGGGTGGGGGAATTTGGGTCAGGAAACCAAAATCTGTCGAGTCTGTGGGAAATGGCTGACCCAGATTAGCTGTGTGCAAAACGGCTCACTTTCTTTCTGGAACTTGAGCAACGAGGGCTACTAGAGGCCCGAAAACGCTTCCTTTAGCCAGCAGGTGTCAGTATTCTGTAGATTTAGTAGTGAGATTGAGTGACAGCCCCCCCCCCCCTCGCTCCATGTAATTAAATTCTTGCTCAGTCATTGCAGTCACATACGGGAGACAGATCAGGTGTCCCCAGGGAAGTCTGAAGGCAGCTGTGCCATGTGCAGTCATTTCTCTTAAATGTGAGTGTAAGAAAAATACTTGTGGGGTAGGGGCTGTGACAGGGGCCAATGAAACCATGAATACTTTGGAGACAATACATTTTTTTAAATTTTTTAATTTTATTTTATTTTATTTTATTTTATTTTATTATTTTATTTTTATACCACCCTTCATCTGAATATCACAGGGCAGTCCACAACATAAAAATACAACATGAGAAAGCAAAATACACAATAAAACAAAAACAAACAAATAACCTCCACCTCTTACAAACACATTTAAAATGATTCTCTGTTAATCAGCCAAATAGGGGTAAATAGGAATGTTTTCACCTGATGCCGAAAGATATGTAATGACGGTGCCAGGCGAGCCTCCCTGGAGAGAGCATTCCACAAACAGGGAGCCACCACAGAAAAGGCCCGTTCTCTTGTCGCCACCCTCCGGACATCTTGTGGAGGAGGCACATGAAAAAGGGCCTCAGGTGCAGGGTCTGGATCGGTTCAGAGGCGGTCCTTGAGATATCTGGAGACAGTGAATGCTCTGCTGGGATTTTCTTCCCCCTCTCATAACGCTAGAATTCAGAGCCACTTGGCAAATATGATTGGATGTGGACAGAGCAACAAGTATTAATTTTACCTGGTATAAGAAGGTTAGTTTATACAATGACACATTCTAACTAGGCAAAAGCACTCAAGGAGGGTACAAAGCAGAGCTGGGAAAGGGTGTTGCAAGTGTGTGTGCGCGGGGTGTAGGTTTGAGAGTCCAAAGGGCCAGTAGTTGTTGTTTAGTCATTTAGTCGTGTCCGACTCTTCGTGACCCCCTGGACCAGAGCACGCCAGGCCCTCCTGTCTTCCACTGCCTCCCGCAGTTTGGTCAAACTCATGTTCGTAGCTTCGAGAACACTGTCCAGCCATCTCGTCCTCTGTCGTCCCCTTCTCCTTGCGCCCTCCATCTTTCCCAACATCA